AAGATTTTCTCACTAATGGTTTCATAGGTTTTTCCCTTAACAAAATCCGTTTTGTCCCCCGTCTCCCCCCCCCCCCCCAGAAACCCAGAAGGCGTTGCGAACCTGAAGAAGGCTATTTGCTTTGCTCGAAGCGATTCGATAATAGAAGTCACTGTATGATTTTTTGCCCCCGCAGGGTTCCGGCCCAGAGGCCGGAACCCGAGGAGGAACCCTTATGTCCCCCGAGTAAAGAAGAAGTATTGTATCGTCTTACTGTTAGTATGCGAAACTTTCCCGATTTGATGGAACTAGGCGCGCACGGTGGTCCAGGTTAATTTTCAGCATGTGCGCCTGGCTCAGCAACCGCGCAAACTGGGTTTGGCGAGTCGTCACGATTTCATTCCAAGCTACACATTTCATTCCAAGCTACGTATTTCACTCCAAGCTTTAAGGTGAGTATTTTTATCATTGAGTATCTTGTAGCACATCAATTTTTCCGGTTTCTTTTCATTAACAAAAAGCTATTCAGCAGTACTGGAATTCTTTAGTATTAAAGAACTTGCAACGTCGATCGACAGAACTTTGAACTTGATTTGTTAGACACAAATCAGCAAAGTAGATCGACAGACTCGATTCAAACCACATCAGGAATAGCTCAAATATTTCAAAACCCAGTCAAAAACAAGAAAGGTGCTAACGTGAAATAACCGGGTTTTGTTCTATATTAAGGTATTCAGGATTTAATAAACAGTAGTCCATGTGTTTGTAGTTGCGTTCAAGAATGTCACACTCGAAGCCAAAGCAGTCGTTCGTTACGTTTCGTAGAGCACACTTTATGAACTCGGTTTTCACTGACCCTGGCATTTATTCATGTGTAGTTGATGCTTTTTTGGAAGTGTGTACACATTTGTTTATGCCATATTTATCAAATTTGCCAGCTAAAAATGAGTTCACAGAGCTGCTTTTCAATACTTGCTCATATTACATCTGTTCGAGAGAAGACAGTGCCTTATTGAAGGAAATTCGCGAACCTGTATGGTCATACATCATTGACCACTGTAGTTTATTTGTAGCCAGAGATTGTAACGCCTGTTTTTGTCAAATATTTGAGCAAAGAACACTTGGTAATATGAATATAGATGAAGAGAGTCTTTTTGTGACTTTAAGAACCTTTGATTCTTTCTGTAACACTTGTGCAAAACTTGTGACTTTGAATAGCAAAATTCTTTTGACAGTAGTTACTGAACGTGGATTACAACACTTGGGTTTAGATAAAAATATGGGCCCCAGTATGTTACTGATGTGCATACAAACCCAGGACAACTGAATTGTGTCACCTGTAATACTCGTACTACTCAGCCTGTTTTGAGTAATGTATCAAACTCTAAATCCCTGTTCATTGAATTCCCTCCTGGGTTGATGAAGGACATAAATGTCTTTGAGTTGATTGAGATCACTGGAGTTCATTACAAACTAAGAAGTGTTGTGCGTTGTAACAATAACCACTTCACTTGTGCTGTTGAAAGTCATAGTAAATGGACTTATTTTGATGACCTTTGTTTTACTGTAAAAGAGTTTGCAAATTTTTCTTCCTTGCGACAAGTTTATAAAGAAGGGTGGTTTTTCACAATTTATGAGCTGGGAGAGATGGAAATACAGTATGAACAAGATGAAATTTTCAACTGCACACCAGACACATCTGGAAATTACAATACATACATGAAAATGAAACGTAATGCAAGGGCAAAAATTGCATGTGAGCCAGGTGCAAGAGAAATATTGGACAACTCCCTCATGGTAGACCTAGAGAATACTAATGATGCTAAAATCAGTAATACTCCATCATTTTCAGGTCCTAAAGTTGTGCACAATCAGAGAAAAAAAGAAAACACAAGGAAAAACGTTAATTTTACAAGAAATAGAAAAAGAAAGATTCCACAGAAAGAGGCAATTGCAAACATAGCAAAGAGACGTAAGAATTCTGATGAATCTGTGCAACCTTCTGAGAATTCATCACTTTACTTTTGCGAGTTTCAAACAAATGAAGATAACAATTTTACCTTACAATCACCCATTGCTGATAATGTTCATGATAAGGATGACAAACCTTTGATGAACGAAATTGATTTTAAAAATCCAACAACATATAATGAGGAACTTCATCAGCAAACATCGTCCAAGGAAAATATGAGAAGATTTCATAAAGCATTAAAATTCACAATTTATCAGTGCCATGTCTGTCATGAAGCCTGGCCTTTGAAAACAAAACCGAAGAATTCTGCGAATTACATTTGCTCTCGAGGTGTGCATGACAAAAGTGTTCCCAAAAAATTTTCAGCCGATAACTCTATGATACCTTCTCCAGTTCCCAAGGAGTTACAAGGCTTGACACAATTTGAAGAAATGCTCATTGCAAGAGCATTTCCTGTTATGCATGTGTACACAAAACTAAGGGGTGGTCAAAGAGCATATAAAGGCCATGTCCTTACTTTGCCTCAGGATGTACAAAAGCTTGCAGAAATACTTCCTAGATGTCCAAAAGATTTGCCTGTGATTATTTTTACTGTTAATTGTAAAGATAACAGTTTTTCTTCAGATTTTGTAGTGAGGCGCAAAAAAGTGGAAGACGCACTTTATTGCTTAACTGGTAAAAGTGCAAATGGCGAAACAAACAATCCTTTGTACAAAAATGTGAAGATAGATAGAGAAACCCTTTCTAATTTACCAGAAAATGACATCCTTTCAGATGTTATCAGAGTAGAGGGTGAAGAAAAATCAGATGACAATGAAGATACGTGATACAAGGATTACTGACAGTACATCATCCATTGACATATCCATATGGGGACAAAACATAGAACAGATACAGGAAGGTCAGTTTTACAACCTCACAAATTGCAGATTGAAACACTTTTACGGAAAAAAGCTGTCAACCACACAAGAAACAGTCATTACCACTGCTGAAAAACAAGACCTTACATCGGCTTAAGACCATCACAAAAAACAAAACAGTTTGTGTTGTCCAGATATCTTGAACGTCCATGTAAACATCTATTCTGTGTGCAACAATAAGGATTGTAAGAAGAAGGTATCTCCACATCCTGGATCAAAAACCGTCCAGTGTCAGACTTGCAACAAGTCGATGCTCCTCAAAAACTGCTATATAGAAGTCAATGCTTCCTTTCAACTTGAAAAAGACAACAAGCAAACTACTGTCACAGCTTTTGCTAAAACCTTGAGCTCCTTCTTGGATGACGATGTCTGTCAATATAAAGACAGCGAGGAAGCACTTACAGAAAAGCTGCTGTTGCTTGAAAACGTTGACTTTTACCTCTCTACAAGAGGAAGATTGATCACCAGTATAACAAAACATACTGCATCAGATGACACCTCCAAAAACCAACAACACAACAAAAGCCAAGACAAAATTAGGAACTCTGGGAATTTCGCACACAAGTTCAAAGCTTCACCGGAACATCCCATCTGGGAGCTTCACAAAGACCGACTTGAGGAAAACAGGAGCTATTACTGACAAGGTTTGGTGACTGAGTAGAGCATACAAGTGTAGCCCAGGTTGAGGTTTCAGGGGGTTTGCTTTTGTTTGTATCTGTATCTTGCTAAGCTTTCATCATTGAATTTGTACATGATCTTGTGATCACAATTCTGTGTTTTCGCCCATTCAGCAAGCACGATATATCAGATGCATTGATGTCAGCATTAGCAAGTTTCAAGTGATGTTTCTTGTACCATTTTATGGAGATGTACACTAAAGTCACCGCCAAATGCGAACTTTAAAAAAGAGTACAATCCATTTATCTCGAAACATAATGCACATGACTTACACGACCTTTATTTTCCTAAAGGTGTTTTGAATACGAACACGGTAAATGTGAGGGGCAAAAACAGTTTTAATATGAATGAACCATAGGGTTTAATTAATATAAGGGTCAATTATTGTGCATTGAAATGAATCGCTTGAAAAGAGAGAGTTCGCTTGGAGATATGATCAGAGGTAAACAAGGGCACATTGTGCGTTACGTTCAGTCTTTTTAATATCCAAGGACTGTGAATAGTGTTTCCATATTGTTTAGCTGCCACAAAAACTTCGAAGGAGTCATAAAGCGGCATAGGTATCTGCCATGAAGAAAAGTTAGTCATGGGTGTCGTGAGCCAAACAGCGAACTCGAGCGAATTTTTAACTCATATCGGTATCAGGTATTACATTGTTTAAAGTGCGTGCTGATGAAAGCAACATGCGAGCGACAAATCTTTAAACTTTTTTAGGTCACAAAATGCAAAGGATGTTATTCCTTTAAATTAGAGAAAAATACCAAGACGAAAATCTTAAAACTGAATATTTTTTATCTTGTGGAAAAAATAGTGCGTTTTCATGTAGACTGTGGACCGCAAATTAGGATCAGGGGCGGATCCAGGATTTTTTTTAGGAGGGGGTGCACTCGTCTCTTGCTCTACTCTAACACCAATAAACCACATAGTTTTTCTTTTTTTGCAGAATACCAGTTGTATTAGAAAACCGCAGGTCATCTCAGGGGGGGGGGGG